GCCACCCTCGCCGCCCTCGCCGCCCTCGCCGCCCTCGCCGCCCTCGCCGCCCTCGCCGCCCTCGCCGCTCCTGCAGGCTCTGTCAACCCATCAATTCATCCGCCCCATTTCCATCGCTGCTCCCATCGCTTCGCCGCCCCACCGCCCCGATCATATCTTGTCTGCATGGACACCGTCTTTACTCCTCGCTTTACCCGTCGCTTTCTCCCTCCCCGTCTGGCACTATTCCTCCCATCACACACGTCTTTTACGCATGCCTCCTTCCCACAAACGGCCCCCTCACTCTTTCCCTCTCGCCCCTACACTTTTCACTTCGTCGTCTCGACCGCCTTCCCCCTTTGTCCACGCCACTTCCCCCACACCATGATTATTCACACCCACGCTTCGCCCACGTCTCCCCGTCGCCCATGCACACCTCCTCGCCTCCCGTCTGTCACACCGTTCCCGCATCCATGCTGCCTTCATTTGCCGCACCGCGCCCCTCACTTCCACCGCCGCCTCGCCCACAGAAATGCACCTGCCGATGTCGACGTTTTCGCCTGGCGATGGTCCGATTCTTCCACCATCGCCGGCAATATAACTACTCCTAATTCCATCATAACCGTTGCTACCACCCTACCACAAGCCTAGCATTTTCCGCAACCACTTCCGCCCCTCTTGATACCGTCCGCGCTACAAAAATCGTCGCCACCGCAATAACCGTCATTCTTAACTTGGTTGCAACGTAACCACAATTGCCATCATACCACTGGGATCTTAACCACCACGCCGGCGCCGCGGCCGCTACTGTCTCAGTTGCGCGTCAAGTATCGGTCAAATATCTCCCCGATTGCGTTCTCTTTCGTTGACGATTCACGCGCGCGGTCGTGACCGTCGTCGCCGTTATTGCCGTCTTCATTGTCGCCGGCGCCGCCGTTGTCGCCGGCGCTGTCGTCTTCGCCGCCGTCGCTGCCGTCGCCGGCTCCGCGGGGCTGATCAAAGGGAAGGAGACGCGACTGTAAGTTACGCTCAGCTAATGAGAACCGTACACAAACCTCTTCTCGCGGGGCGCGCCGCAGCGCCGTTCGCGCTGACGAGTCGTAGGGAAACCTCAATTTAATAAACGCTTTTAAAATACAATTCGTGGTGTAGTGACAGTTATTTACGAAATAAGTGTCGTAACACGGCTTATTACGAAATGAGATTAAATAATTCGAGTTTTATGTCAATCTTCTCGTATTGTCGAATGATTTTATGATGCGAATATCCTACAAAGTTAAAACTACTTTGTGCTTGTTCCAATGTGCAAATATTGTTTTTAATGTGTATATTTGACTCTTCGTCCTGGATATAGTGGCAGTTTCATGTTAATTATTTAAGGCCATGTATTATTGAAGTACTTGAGTTCTAATACTACTTATTATGTATTTTGAGTTTGTAAAGATTGATTTTACGTAATCAAAGTTAATAAATATCTTACTTGTATAATTTTAGCTTTTATTTTTTTGTGTCAAATGTTTAATGCTGCTCAGTGTATGTGATCATTAAGCTTTTGGTGAAATTTGTTTCAAACGAACGAAAGTGCACTATGAAGTTTGACGAGAAAGATCTTGCTGATTCCTAAGGAAAATTAGCGATTTAGTTATAAATTCTTGAATATGATATTTTAATTACTTTGTCCAACGAATTTTCTGTTGAGTTTTCCTTGTTCCTTGTATAAACTTCTTCCGGGTACACGAATGACACACGCAACTGCAGATTGTTCACAATGTTTGTTTTGGGTTTCTATTCTCACACATTTCTCTTTTCTTAACGACAGTATTTCTCTTAAAAACAATTGAAAAGATTGTATTAATATTATATCTTCTGTGTTCCAAGATAGAAATAAATCTAAGACACACGTGTACCACCAGGTTCATCATAAAAATTTAATGTATCTTACTGTGCAGTTGTTACTGAGATGGTATTACGTAAATTGATCTACCTTAATATAGCTTTTTATGAGTCCAGCTTTATATTTCGGAAGATAAAGTGAGCTTAATAAACGCTAATAAAATACGCTAGTGATGAATTGAAATGTCTTTTACATTATTGTTGTATTATTTAAGTTTTCTATCAAATTCCTCACGGTGAATTATTTCAATGCTTTTCTTTTTGGTCATTAATTTCTCCTTTTTTCTCCTCGTTTCTTCTGATCGTGGTTATCATCATCAATGTTGTCACCGTCGTTCTTACGTACAAACGACAATCTAATCTCGGCCATTTGGGCATTTTCCTATTAACTATAATTGTAATATGCGCACTTATCTAACAATGCTAATGTTTCATTGACTTTACATCACGAAACCGCTGCACACATGACCGCGTCGTGACGGCGCGCGAGGCGGGTGCGTGGGCGGTAGTGGCGGGGCGTGGCGGGGTGCCTCGCGATGTCACCCCGACCGCTGTCACCTCCGAGGGCAGGGCACCCCGAACACACACACACACACACAAAACGCGCGACCGCCGCGCCTCCGCGCTGGATATTAGGGTGCTTAATTATGCATGAGGCCTTGATGTTTCTGAGACTCATACATATTTTAATGGCATAGAGAGAGAGGAGAGGGAGGCTTTTACCAGCCGAACAACCGATATGACAGTTATCTTTCTTGTTGGTCGCGGCGGCCGCGGTGGGAGACGGCCGGCACCCCGCTAGCGGGCGCGGGGACCCACCCGCTCGTGAGCGCCGGTTATTTGTAGTCCGGATTGGGAGGCTGATTTTCGGCCTGTGTTCCAGCGCGAGGTCGTGACTCACGCTGGGTGTCCGCCAAGTCCTGGGATTTGCAGAAATCTCGTTCGCCGAAATGGGAGGAAAATGTGAAAAAGGGAGTGTTGTATAATGCGTTTGTTCTCGATAATGTCGCGGGATGTGATGTTCAAGGATAACCATTCCAATATTGGTTTGATGATTCCCATTCGGCGAATACTCTCGTGTATGTGAGATATCCAATTGTGTCATATTGTAAGACTCGTGGATATCATCTTTTGAACCCCTAAATCTGCTGGAGTCTTTCAGAAAATTCGTTTCTGATTACGATTGTTTCATGTGACAGTTTGTAACTTGATGCTCACTTTCACTGAACTGTCTAAAATATAAACTAAAATAAATGTAAATGCTATTGAGCTTTTATTTCACGTGCGACTGAGAAAACTTGTATCTAAGAAAGAAACAGATTTATAGATATTTTCACAGGGACGAACAAATATTACAGATCATTGGCTCCGTACCAGAACTTTCTGCTCCGCCTGTAGACAGGAAACAGCATACACGGAATTCACTGCAAGTACAACGTGAGCAGTCGGCTCGACAACTGCGCTTTCCGTGTCGTGATGGTGGACATCGCGAAAGAAAGACAATTCATTTTTATTGAACACACCGCAGAAGAAATAAAAAAAAATAAAGTTCGTCGTATAATGCATACGGAATGCAGTTCATGTTAGCTACGAATTGAATCTGGATATTCACGACTGAACATAAAACCGGTCGTGTTCCGCGATTTTGTGGCGCAGAACACTCAGTCGTCCATCATAGCTGTTCACGAAAGTTCTTGATTGCAGCAGCAGCGTTCTTTTACGAGTTCGACTCTTTGTAGGTTCCCGCGATGCGTGTGAGGCATCGCTCCTTTTGTTATGCGAGCTTAACGACCGAGAATAGAGCCAGTAGAAGCGCTGCCTTGCTTTATTCGTCGATTCTGGCAGTAATTAGTTCGTTCCGAACGAGCGGCCCGAGTGCTTTAAATTTAGAGAGAATCGTTCGCCCCTCGTGGCCTAACTGGCACAAGTGAGCGAATGTAATAAAATTGAACCTTCAGAACTGCGGTTCTCTCTAAGCAAAAGAGTCTCTCAGCCGCTGCTGTTGTTGTAGAGGCCATTTCTCATGATCAAACGGAGTAGCAAAACACTGGAGGGGGAAGCCGGTGGGGGAAGATGAATGTTGCAATTACTACTCGAAGATTGGAAATGTATTAAAATCCCTTGCAGCATATTGACCTAACACAAGAATGAATGAGACAGAATGTTTGAACCGATAATTTTAATTGCTAAAAGCTTCCATTTTTTTACTTTTCTTGTATATTTCGATGTTCTAGTATTTTCTAGAATTTTGCATATTCTGATATTTTCTGATATCTTATTACTACAATATTGTAATTTAGCGCAAAACAGTTTGTAATACCCTTCGATCTATTCAAATTTTTGTTTTTATAGTTTGTTAATGAAAGTCAGAAAAATTTTTTATTCGATTATCTCACATGACCGAATATTATCAGGGATTAGTTTCTTAGTTAACAAAGCACAAGTGATTGCGAGAAATTCCAAGCACAGTAATTGCCTGATATTCCAAAGGATTGTCTCGTAAAATAAAAAAAATCGTTGAGAAGTTGAGAAAGTTTTACTTACTGATGCCTTCTTTACTTTGGATACTTTTTATGAAGAGAATTACGGATATTTAATCTTAGTACTGTCCATTTGGATAGGTTTCCACCTAAGGTATTTCTGAAGACTTTGAAGAAGCCCTTGACCTATACCATATTTTAATAATTACGTAAAGGAAATTGAGATCATTCACATTTTTATAAATTAGATGATGTAATGATACATTTTCATTGAAAATGTTAATATTTAATTATTATTCTTATACATGGAATGCACTTTTGTGATTCACACTTAGGCGATATGCAATGCGGAATTTAGAAACAATCTCACTACATCAGGGCACACGTTTGAAAGTTCTTACTGGAATATTGAGCAAGAAAACCACAGATACAGCTTTCCCTTTCAAAGTTTCCCTACATAATATTATTAAAAAACTTTATTACTTTTTATAACAATTTTATTCAATATATTTTCCGCATGACAACGTTAATGCAAAGGAGAAAAATATTATAATATTAGGTCACTCCTGCAATGTGCGTTCTTCAACAGTCAATGGCTACATATTGCAATTCTCTAGAGCAAGAAATTCCGGCAGCGACAGCTCGAAAAGCTAGTAGCCCTTCCGCCCACGTTCTTACAAGAAAGCTAATTAATAAAACAAAAACTAATAATAATAAATAGAAAATTAAATAGAAAAACCTCGAAAAAAAAGAAAATCAACGAACAAAAATAATGAGAATAAAGGACACCGACAAAAATATATCAAAAAAAAATCTTGGAGAAGGCAATCAGAAGTTATCTTCTACAAAAATAAGTGTGTTTAAAAATTCATATTAATGTACATACACATACAAATGAATGTTTAAATATAGACTACTTTTTAGAGAAAACTTGTGTTTTCGTAACCATGCACAGCCTAAATCAAGAGGGTAGCAATTACATTTCTGGACTCTTTTTGTCAAAGAAATTTTTAAATATACATATGACATGTTTTATTAGTAAATGAATAAAACATTGGATACTACAAGAAGAATGGAGTAGTAGCTCTTAAGATACAATAAGTAAATATATTGATTTTTTGTTAAAACGTTTACTGTGTTATCTGAGGGCTTGGAGAGCCTCTTCCCCAAATATAAAATAATTTTCAAAATTGTGAGGTTAAAAAAACTGCTTCCAATAAAACTGCAAATGGACAAAGAATACAAAATACGTCCATCTAATAGCATCAGCTACCACCAGTTAACTTTTATGTAACGTACTACACAAGTATTACATTAAATATTTTATATACTTGAATTAAAATAAAATGACAACAGGATTGTCTAAAAAATAGTGCATGACATACGTGGTAAGAGTGATTTTATTTTCCTCGTAGGATTGCATCACTCGGGCTATCGACCTCACGCCGTGCACCACTCGCCACTTTTATCACTCTTATCATAAATAATTATTTTTGTTTATTAGCTTTTGTGAGCCGAGTGATGCCGTTTGGGCACCTGAGCTGTTCCAGAGAGCGGGCAAGTGGGCGCTGTCATTAATTGATTGATGTTTCCGTTCACGTCAACTGTTTTGGGCATTAGTCCCATTAGTGTAGTACATGCTTTATCTCGGGAGGTGATTCCTTCTGTGATGGCTAGAGAGGTCTTGCGCCGACCTAATGTCGGCTTGCGGGGAATTCCCCCAACAGAATTCTACCAACAGAAGAGCATCGCCTCAGTCAGGACAACCGCCAAGTACCGTCCCATGGTTTCCCGACATGTGTGCAAGTGTAGAGTATAGCAGTTGAAGGGTGTGAATGAGGGAAGAAAATATGTTACAGAAGGAGAAAGGAAAGATCGCACGCGTTACAGAGCCCGTCTCTTAGGATACTGCTCCGACATTCGCCTGGTGTTGATCGGAGAAACCACGAAAGTCTACCAATCAGAGGAGACGGTCGCTAGAATTCTGCTCCAGCCAGCGCCTGATATCGGCCTAGTCCAAAAACTGCCACTGTCGCGACCAGAACCCGACGATCTCCCAGTGAGAGCCAATGCAGAGACTGCGGCAATGCTGGCTCTGATCTACACTCAGTCGTGGGGCGCTTTCGTATATATATTTCCCAGACGCTGAGGAAACCGCGGGTCGGCAGAGCGAGGCAGCCAGCGCGCGTGGCGGGATGCGGCGACGAGGCGAGGCGTGGCGAGGCGGAGTGGCGCGGCGTGGGCTCCTAACGAGCTAACCGCGCGTTCGCCGACGGCCGTTGCGCCGCACGACGCGTCCGCTCGCGTCACCCGCGTTCAAAAACGCCGCACAGGGCCGCCAACCCTCGCAGCACGCGCTGCAGCTACATAGCGGCACGAAGGGAATCTGGATCGTAGATTTACATCTTTGATAGACACAACATCTTTGATAGTTCCGGAGGATGGGTGTGGCGTACATTTTTGGGTACCGTGAGAGTCGCGTGACGGAATGTTGGTAGATTCTAGATATTCACTGTGTATTTTGAGTCCGTATCTGCGTGTAGTATGTACACTTAGTGTGAATAGTAAAGACTTGATACAAATCATAATGACATGTACCTAAAAATGGGTCACTATGAGGATGTAAGAATATCAAAGCCATTAACAGTGAGTACGGTACGTCAATTTTGAAAGTAGCAGTCACTCAAAATGATAAACATTGTAAATGCGTTCATTTGTATTACATATTAGACTTATACATTTGTTGAAATTGATTGGTTGTCTCCAAATTTGAAAATAAAGTCAATTCTTCTCAGCCCCTTAAGATGTCTTCTGACTCAACTAAACTATACAAGCTTTTATAAACATTATGTAGTTATTTTTTTTATTTGGAAAAATCTATTTAATTTGTTGAATCAAATTATGTATTTCATGAAACGAAATTAACAGGAAAATTAGCGTTTATCATCATGTAATAATTCTAATAGATCTACTTGATTTGTTGTGGCAAAGTCAAGTCGAAGAACGTATAATAGGAAGATATCGTCTTCGTAGAATATAAATTAAAACCCTTTGTTTTCTAATAGATCACGAATCGAGTGTATTTTTCAACGTCGCGGCGCCTGCAACACTGACACTGAGAAATGATTCTCATTTTCTTCACTCCGACCTCCACGAGTTCACATTCGCGGACAATCTCCTCAAGAATCCCCAGCCTCCGCGTTGCAGGTGGGACCTCACGGCACTGCGCCAGTAAATCTCCGACGGCGCTCGACTGTAACGAGTGAATTTGCGGCTCGGCACAGCCGCCCGCCTCCTCGTCCGTCCGTCGGTCCGTCCACTAGGCAGCCGGCCATCCAGCCATACC